AAATACTGTAAGATTCTACTTACGTGAGGTTCTGTTACTGAACCAGGTTTGTTCACCCAACACGCAGCAAGCCAAATGCTGAGACGCTGCAGTTTGTAGCAGAGAAAGAGTTTATTCACGAGACAGCCAAGTGAGGAGATGGGAGAACAAATGTCAGATCTGTCTCCTCGCAGGTGAGGGACTTGAGATATTCATGGGATAAAGAAGCAGGGAGGTCTTAGGTGTGGGGAAGTGATTGGAAGTAGGGAAAAGGTGAGGTAATCAGTGTTCTGTGCAGGTGTATCGGGGTACATGCTTTTTCGTGGGATATGTGTTCAAAAATGGAGACACTTAGCCTGATCCGAGGGTGGAGGTTTTGGCCCTCTGACATCAGGCGGTCATTCATCAGACATGTGTGCAGGCCCAGTTTTTAGGGTCAGCGGTCCCAACCGGCCTTGGCTGCCTTGAACTGGACAAGAGCTGACTCTAGGTTTCTGGAAAACAGCTTAAGTGCCCATTGATATAGTGACCCATACGTCCGAGGTGTAACCTATAGGGGACAATTAGTAACTCAGGCAAAGCTTGGTCACTGAGGGCGGTTTCAGGCGGGGGTTTACCAGGCTGTCCCTGGGCTGCTGCTCTGTAAGACGAGCTCGAGAATTCCTGTTAGTCACCACTGTCTGCTAACCCTGTGGAACATGGTTTCTGTTCCTAGAGTAGTCAAGATCATAGAAAGTGTGGTCCATGCTGGTTGTCAGGGAGCCGTGGTAGGAGGAGAATGGGAAGTTACTGCTCAGAGGATATAGAGTTTCGGTTTTGCAAGATGAAGAGTTCTGGAGATGAATGTGACTGCTGGGAATGGTTACACAGCACTGCGAAGGTACTGAATTCCAATGAACTGTACACTTTAAAATGGTTAAGATACTAAGTTTATGTTACGTATTTTATGTTATCACAAGGAAAAATTTTCTAAGAAGATGAGCTGTGACTCTTACCTCACCCAATACCAAAAGATTACCTCAAAATGGAACATAGACTTTAAGAGCAAAAGCCATAAAATTTCTGGAAGAAATCATAGAGGAAAATATTCATGACCTTCTCTTAGGCTAAAGTTCTTAGAAAGCTCTTTCATAGGTTGTGCTTTTTGAGATAGAAATTGGGCCACATCAAGATTAAAACTTTTGAACTTCAAAGTCACCATTCAGAAAATGAAAACACAAGTCCCAGACCGGGACTTCAAGTATTTAAAGTCCGGGAGATAGTATTTGCAAATCATGTACCTGATAACAGGGATATATCCAGAATATATGAAGAATGCTTACAACTCAGTAAGAAGACAGACAACCCAATTTAAAACATGGGCAAAGGATTTGAACAGACACTTCACCAAAGAAGATGTATAGATGACAGGTAAGCACCGGAAAAGATGTTTAACATCATGAGTCACTAGGGAAATAAAATTCATATCATAATGAAGTCCCACTTTATGCCCAATGGCTACAACCAAAAAGGCAGACAGTAAGTGTTGACAAGGATGTAGAGAAATTGGAACCACTGTAGACTGCTGGTGGGAATATAAAGCACAGTCGCTTTGTAAAGGTTTTGGCAGTTTCTTTAAAAGGTTAAATGTAAACTTACTGTACAGAGCAGCAGTTTTACTTCTAGGAATTTACCCAAGATAAAGGAAGACATGTTCACACAAAGACTTGTATAGTAGCTCAAAACTAAAAAGAATCTAAATGTGGATTAAGTGGTGAACGTATAGACGAAATGGAGCACTATTCAGCAATTAAGGGGCAAACCGCTGGTGTGTGCTGTAACAAGAATAAACCTCCAAAGTGTGCTGAGCGGAAGAAGCCGACGCAGTACCTAGTGTGGTCCCAGTCATGCGAAATGTCTGGAACAGGCAGATCTGTGCACAGGAGCAGAGCAGTGGTTGTCTGGGGGTCGGGGGTGAGCGTGGGCCTCGGCTCCAGAGGAATCTCTCTGAGGCAGTAGGAACGCTGTAAACCTGGATGTGTGGACTGTTGCAGAACTTTCAATTTATTAAAAATCATTGAAGTTAAAAAAAATTACTCTATATAGAAGCATTATTGAGGTATAATTTATATACCGTAAAATTTACCCTTTTAAGGTGTACCTTCAGTCATTTTTAGTATTCACAGAGTTGCCTAAATATCACCGTATCCAATTTCGGAACATTATCATTACTTCCAGAAGAAACCCTGTCCCCATTCACAAGCCACTCTCCATCCCCTCCTTCCCCTCTCCCCTGACAGCCATTTAATCTACTTGGTGTGTTCAAGAATTTCCCTATCCTAGACATTTATATAAACAGAATCATGTCAGAGGTGGCCCTGTGTATCTGGCTTCTTTCATTTAGCGTAGTGTCTTCAAGGTAGATTTGTGTTGGTCTCAGCCTGGCAGGAATGATGCTGTGACGCAGAGCGCCCGGGGTGGGGCTCGCGGGGACCCGTGCTGCTTGTGGCAGCCCCACAGACATTTCCCTGACTGGAGCCAGCGTCATGGCTGGACCAGCCCTTGTGGTTCTTACTGTGCCTGCAACGCGCCTCTCATCAGCAACCATCGGGGAACTCTGAAAACATAAGGTTTACTACTCACAGACCCTGCGGGGTACGTGGCACACCGGGGGCCACACAGCAGAGAGGACGAGAGGACGAGAATGCGGAACTGGGGTTCTGCCTTTACTGGGGTCAAGGGGGGGTGAGGTTCTGCCTTTATTATTGGGGTCAAGGGGGGATTGCAGGTTCATTATTTATTGGTGAATTTAAAATAAGGCTGAGAATTCAGGCACTGGAAGGGAAGAGCGGGGTCACTCAAGTGAGCAGTTATCTAGGTCACCCAGGGCTTTCTGGGAGGAGAACGTCAGGTGGGGCGGCCTGTCTCCTTATCTAGCTGTGTGGCTGGCCGTGCGTTTATCTAAGATGGATGTCTTTGAAGTGGTGCCTCGGAAATCAGAAGCTTTCAGTACGATCAGGCACTTGCATTACAGTCAACAGAAGCTAATTGTCAGGTACCTATAGTACAAAAGTTCATCATGTAGCATTTTTCGGTGCTTCATTCTTTCTTATAGCTAAATAACGTGCCTTTGTATATATAGATCACATATGATTTATCCCTTCATCCATTGATGGGTATTTGGCTATTAGGAATCAGGCTGTTAGAGCCATTTGTGTGCAAGCGTTTCTGTGGATGTAGGCTTTTAATTCTGTTGAGCAGATAAGAATGGGATCGCCGGCGAATACAGTAATTCTGGGTTTAACACTGAGGAGCTGCCAAGCTGGGTCCAAGGTGGCTGCTCCATTTTACATTCCCACCAGCTCTGCGTGAGGGTTAAAAGCTTTACTCTTGCAACTTTTTTCATGTGTTAGATATCTTGGTTCTTAAAAAGAGTGATATAAGTGTCATGTCCTATAACATACATAAGACTGTTTTAAAATAACAATTTGTTACCATTAACAAGGGTGCTAAATGAGGTTCAGTCTGTCTTTGTAGCCCATTTTATCCAAAGAATGCACAGTTAAATACCGCATGTTAAGTCAGTTGGTAAAATGATTGTCTGTTGTAGTTTTGTTTCCAATTGTATAAATAAACGTATCTGTTGACATTTATTTTCGATGTTAGGGATTGCCCTCCCTCCTCTTTTAGATCATGTGAAATATTTACGTGATTCAAAGTAGAAAGTATGTAGCGTCATTCAGACAAGCGTCCATCCCTCCTGCTCTGTCCCTTCCCGCCCCCGGAGGGAACCTTTTTACAGTTCCTAGTTCATCCTCTCAGTGATTCTTTTGGAAATACAAGCAAACACACACACACACATACCTGACCTGACTCAACGCTAAGCCTTGTCAGGAAGCCTTTCTTCTGCCTCTAGCCCTGTGTTTCCTAGAGTTCAGCATGCCTTGTATCCTAACATGTTTCTCTCAGTTTTACCCCTTGTATTTTGTTGTTATAATAGCTTCTGGAATGAGCATCCTCTGGACCCTTCCCCCTGACTGCCGAGTGCCTTTCTCTCTTCCCTTTTCTCTCCTTCCCCTCTCATTCTCAGAATCTCTTTTCTCTCGTCCCTCTCTTTGCCTGAATCTTTGTTTTCTCACTTCTTGGGCTGGTCAATTTGGGCTCCATTTCCAGCAGCTTCCCCTCGCAGTGAAGACCCGTCCTTGTAGAAGGGGTGGTTTGCCCATTATTTCTCAGACCCTCGTGTTCCTAGGTGACCACAGTGCTGTTAGGTCACTTAGCGACTTTGGGAATGTCTTTTTTAGTCACCTGCAACTCTGAGCCTGAGAGGCTCAGATTCCCCTCGGGAGGTGCTCTCCTGTTGGGGGTGACTTTGGAGATCGGCAGCATGTGGTCCCCGGTCCCCCGTCCCAGTTCTGCAGTTAGGTCACATCTGCCTGGATCCTGGGTTTGTGAGGAACCCTGTCACCTGGGTCCATTTGTCTGTCTGTGGACATCTCTGGGCTTCTTCTTTTGCTATTCTGGTAGGCCTCTTCTGTTTTTATTGGGAGATTAAAAGACTACACTGTTCCCCTGAACTCATCCTACTCTCAATGTTTAACAACAAAAGTAAGACTCAGCGAGAGAGATGAAGTGAATTGTTCACAGACATCCAGATATTGAGAGAAGCTCTACTGAGACAGACTGTTTTGTCCACAGCCCATCTCTCGTGTACGTCGCCTCCAGCAGGGTCGTTCCCTCCTTACCATCTGGCGTCATGTTCTTCTTGAGTGTCTGCCCGGAGTTGTTTAAATCTCTGGGTGGTTACCGCACTTTCGGGGATCCTGGGGGCCTGTGCAGAGTCTGGGCGGGGCGGGGGGCTGTGGTTGTGTGCTGGGTTCCCCACTTCCATTTCCTCTCACTTGTGCCCCCCAAGCCGCACTGACCACAGTCCGCAGAGCCCCCAGTCCAGCCTGGGTGAGTGCGTTCACCAGCAAAGGAGACCGAGGTCGGGGCCCAGAGGAAAAGTGCTCGCAAAAGTGAGCTTGCTCTTGGGTCTGCAGGTCCCACCTCTCCAGGAGCAAGAGAGCACATGTGATGGCATCAGAAAGCTCCAGGGGGAGGAATCCATCCTGGGTCAAGAGACCCCTGACCAGAGGCCTCTCCCTGGAGGACCCCGGCAGAGGCACAAGAGTCCCGGGACAGAGCAGGTCCTAGAGTGGCTGTTTATTTCCCAGGAGCAGCCGAAAGCGAAGAAGACCTGGGTGAGTTACTGGTTTGTTCATTTCCACTTCTTTTCTTTATTTCTTTTTCATTTTTTTGGTGGGGAGAGGGATGGAGGTCCTCAGGTGGGAGGTCGTGTAAGGTCCCTGAGGTCCCTGTTTCCTGGTTTCCCCAGACTCAATTTTCAGCTCCTTTTCCACGCCCCTCCCCAATTTTTTTTAATGGATATTGTTCTGTTTAAATGTGTTTACAAACTGTGTATTGTTTCTGGTGTGAATGCATTTTTAATTTATGTTGGTGGCGTGTACGCATGTGTATCCTGCTGTATTGCTTATATTTTTCGTTAAGCACCGTCCTCTTGTATGGCCGTCAGCAGTGTCTTGGTGTCCACTTGCCTCACGTTCTCTGCCAGCTCTTAATTACTGTTGTTCTTTTTATTTGAGCCATTCAGGTATGGTGGTGTCTCTGTATGGGCTTACTTTGCATTTCCTGCTAGCATGCTTTTTGGACATTTTGTTACCTTTTGTGGGTGTTTTCTGTCTGTTTCTTATTGACTGAAAGGAGTTATTTATTTTCTGGAAGCTTACCAGAAATGCTGTTTCAGGCCGCACCTCAGTCCTGTTATATCAAGACTTTTCATCTTAACAAGATTCAGTGATTCATGCACATTGAAGTTTAAAGCAACCTTGATACCAAATCCATATTTACCTGGGGTGCTTCTCTCACCTCCAATATTTTGTTATGACAGTTTTCAAACGCAGGGCAAAATCGAAAGGATTTTGCAGTGAACATCTGTATACTCATCACCTTGAATTTACCTTTAACATTTTACTGTACTTGCTTTATCACATTATCCATCTTTCCATCCCTCTGCATCTCTTACCCCATCTTATTTTTGCTGTATTTCTTAATATATTTTAGACATCAGCATGCGTCTCTCTAAATACTTCAGTATGCACAGCATTAACTGTTGTTCAGTGTTTGTTTACAAGCTGGGTTTTTTTCCCCTGTCTTGCCTTTTCATTCTGTTAATTAATGCTGCCTTTTGATGAACAGCTACTTCTAATTTTTACTTAATTTAGTTTCTAAATTTTTTCTTTTATTATTGGTGTTTTTTGTGTCCAATCTAAGAACTTTTTTTGTTATCCAGAGCTCATGAAGACAGTTTTCTTTGTTCACATTTACCTTTCACATGTAGATTCACAATACATCTAGAATTAATATTTATGTTTAGTGTTAGTAGGAGTCAAGCTTTATTTTTTTCATCAAGTTGCCTAATTGCCCCAGTGCCACTGAAGTGATTGACCTCTACCTATGGCTCTGCGGTGCCACCTTGTCATATATCAGGCGTCCATAAATATAGTTTGGTTTCACAACTCTTTATTCTGTTCCATTGGCCTACTTTTCCATCCTTATGCCAGTTTCACACTGTCTTGATTTATAATAAGTCTTGATATCTGGATGCTTCCAGTTTTTGGTGATTATGAATGCTGTCAACACTCACATGTGGGTTTTTGTGTGGACATGAGTTTTCATATCAGTTGGGTAAATACCTAGGAGCATGATTGCTGGATTGTGTGGCGATTCTATGTTTAGCTTTGTAAGAGACTGTCTTCCAGAGTGCCTTGCAGTTTTGCATTCCCACTTGCAGTGAATGAGCGTCCCTGTTCCTCATCCTGACCAATTGTTGGTATTGTCAGGTTATTAAAAATTTTGCCATTCTAATAGATGTGAGGTGATATTTCACTGTAGTTTTAAGTTGCATTTCCCTAATGGCTAGCTAGTGGTATTGAGTATATTTCTATATGTGTTTTATTCTTTCTATATCTTTGGTGAAGTATCTGTTTTCTTGTCATTGATTTTTTTTAAATTTAATATTAAACAAAAATTTTATTGGCGTATAGTTGATTTACAATGTTGTGTTAGTTTCAGGTGTACAGCAAAGTGAATCAGTTATACATATATCTACTCTTTTTAATTTAATTTTTTTTTAAGATTATTTTTTTTGATGTGGACCATTTTTTTTTTTAAGTCTGTTGAATTTGTTACAATATTGCTTCTGTTTTATGTTTTGGTTTTTTTTTTTTTTTTTGGCCCTAGGCATGTGGGATCTTAGCTCCCCAACCGGGGATTGAATCCGCACCCCCTGCATTAGAAGGTGAAGTCTTAACCACTGGACCCCCAGGGAAGTCCCTCCATTCTTTTTTAGATTCTTTTCACATATGGGCCACTACAGAGTATTAAGTAGAGTTCCCTGTGCAGTAGGTTCTTATTAGTTATCTATTTTATATATACTAGTGTGTATATGTCAATCCCAATCTCCCAGTTTATCCTTCCTCCCATCCCCTGGTACCATAACTTTGTTTTCTACATCTGTGACTCTGTCTCTGTTTTGTAGGTAAGTTCATTAGTACCATTTTTTTAGATTCCACATATAAGCAATATCATATGATATTTGTCTTTCTTACTTAACTGAGTATGACAATCTCTGGGTCCATCCATGTTGCTTCAAATGGCATTATTTTGTTCTTCTTTATGGCTGAGTAATATTCCATTGTATATATGTACCGTATCATTAAAAAAAATTTTTTTTTAATTCTTTATCTTATTTATTTTGTCTTGAGAGGGCAGAAGCCAAACTTACTGAGTTTGATGGGCATGACATTAAGATATTACATATGGCTCTTCAGGATTTGGGGCTACAAAATCATGCTTTCTTATTCTTTTTTTTAAAAATATCATTATTGAAGTATAATTGCTTTACAATGTGGTGTTAGTTTCTGCTGTATAACAAAGTGAATCAGCTATATGTTTACATATATCCCCATATCCCCTCCCTCTTGAGCCTCCCTCCCACCCTCCCTATCCCACCCATCTAGGTCGTCACAAAACATAGAGCTGATCTCCCTGTGCTATGTAGCAGCTTCCCACTAGCCATCCATTTTACATTTGGTAGGGTATATATATCAGTGCTACTCTCTCACTTCATCCGAGCTTCCCCTTACCCCCGCTGTGTCCTCAAGTCCATTCTCTGTCTGCGTCTTTATTCCTGCCCTGCCACTAGGTTCATCGATACCATTTTTTGAGATTCCATATATGTGCGTTAGCATGCGGTGTTTGTTTTTCTCTTTCTGACTTACTTCACTCTGTATAACAGTCTCTAGGTCCATCCACCTCACTGCAAATAACTCAATTTGTTCCTTTTTATGGCCAAGTAATATTCCATTGTATATATGTGCCACATCTTCTTTATCCATTCATCTGTCAGTAGACATTTAGGTTGCTTCCATGTCCTGGCTCTTGTAAGTAGTGCTGTAGTGAACATTGTGGTACATATATCTTTTTGAATTATGGTTTTCTCAGGGTATATGCCCAGGAGTGGGATTGCTGGGTCATATGGTAGTTCTGTTTTCAGTTTTTTAAGGAACCTCCATACTGTTCTCCATAGTGGCTGTATCAATTTACATTCCCACCAACAGTGCAGCAGGGTTCCCTTTTCTCCACACCCTCTCGAGAATTTATTGTTTGCAGATTTTTTGATGATGGCCATCAAAAAATGTGTGAGGTGATACATCATTGTGGTTTTGATTTGCATTTCTCTAATGATTAGTGATGTTGAGAATATTTTCATGTGTTTGATGGCAATCTGTATGTCTTCTTTGGAGAGATGTCTATTTAGGTCTTCTGCCCATTTTTGGATTGGGTTGTTTGTTTTTTTGATATTGAGCTGCATGAGCTGCTTGTATATTTTGGAGATTAATCCTTTGTCAGTTGCTTTGTTTGCAGATATTTTCTCCCACTCTGAGGGTTGTCTTTTCGTCTTGTTTATGGTTTCCTTTGCTATGCAAAAGCTTTTAAGTTTCATTAGGTCCCATTTGTTTATTTTCGTTCTTATTTCCATTACTCTAGGAGGTGGGTCAAAAAGGATATTGCTGTGATTTATGTCATAGAGATACCACATCTTCTTTATCCATTCCTCTGTTGATGGACACATAGGTTGCTTCCACGTCCTGGCTATTGTAAATAGTGCTGCAGTGAACATTAGGGTGCATGTATCTTTTCAAATTGTGGTTTTCTGTGGGTATATGCCTAGGAGTGGGATTGCTGGGTCATATGGTAGTTCTAATTTTAGTTTTTTAAGGAATCTCCATACTGTTCTCCATAGTGGTTGTACCAACTTCCATTCCCACCAACAGTGTAGGAGGGTTGCCTTTTCTCCACATCTTCAGCATTTATTGTTTATAGATTTTTTGATGATGGCCATTCTGTGACTGGTGGGAGGTGATACCTCATTGCAGTTTTGATTTGTATTCTCTAGTAATTAGTGATGTTGAGCATCTTTTCATGTGCTTTTTGGCCATCTTTTGTCATGGATTTTTAAGAATTCTTTGTTATTCTAGATTTAAATCCTTTATAAGAAAAGTGATTTGAAAATATTTTCTCCCAGTCTCTGGTTTGTGTTTTCATTTCCATGACACCAACTTTCACAGAGCAAAATGTTTTAATTTTGATAAAGTTTATTTTCTGAATTTTAATTTTTTAAAATGGGTTTTGCTTTTGGTGTCATATCTAAAATTTCATTGCCCAAACAAAGGTGCACAAATTAAAAAAATTTTTTCTCTGGAATTTGTAAAGTTTTAGCTTTCACATTTAAGTCTGTGATCCATTTTTAGTTAATTTTTGTATAGAGTGTGGGGTATGTGTTGAGGTTCATTTTTTATGTGTATGGATGTGCAAGGGTTCCAGCACCCTTTGTTGAAAAAGGTGATCCTTTCTCCATTGAATTGCTTTTGTGTCTTTATGAAAAAAAAAAATTTTTTTTTTCAAGAGACAGTGTTTATATGGGTCTATTTCTAGGCTCTCTTTTCTGTTCCATTGATTTTTATGTCTAATCTTTTACCAGTATCATGCTTTCTTGCTTTTATAGGAAGTCTTAAAGTGGGCTAGTGGGAGTGCTGCACCTTTGTTCTTCAGAATTGTTTTGGCTGTTCTGGTTTTTTGCCTTTCTGTATTAATTATAGAAGAGCTTGTGGATAGCTAC